GCCCCCCGGGGGGCCCTGGCCTGCCGCTTTGGACCCGCCGAGCCGATCAGGGGCTATAAAGTGAACCAGGAGCCCGGAAGGCTGAGCTTGAGCGGAGAGCGCTACCTTCTTGGAGGAGGCGAATTTGTATACCGGCCGCGGCAAGAGCAGCGACGCCTGGTTGGCAGCGTGCGGCGGGGACCCTCCGCGAGGCTGGCTCGTGTTTTCCCCCGCGCCTCAGGAATAACAGCGCCATTGTCGCCCCCATGCCGGCTCTGCTCCGCTGGGAGAAACGGGGCTCCCTCTCCGCCGGCTGCCTCCCGGGGAGGTCCCGTCTTCTTCTCCTTTCCGCTCGCGGGGAGAAGGTAAGAAGCAACTTTTGACTCCCGCTCCGTCTGCTGCGAATGGCCTCTTGAGGGGTCCCTCCCGCCTCGGCTGGACTTTTTAGGAAATCTGGGGAGCCAAGGAAGGAAGGAAGGAAGGAGAGACCAGGTCGCCCCGCGGGTCTGCTATGACTGAAACGGAGGCGGGGGGCCTTATGGAAGCTGAGCGAAGCCGCTTCTCCTGCTCCTGATCGGAATCGAGCGTTTCTGTGGCTTCCGGTGCCTGCAGGAAGGATCAGCCCCGCTGGAAACAGGTGCGGGATCTCCTCTTCTTCGCAGGGTGTGTCTTAAGGTCAGTCGATGATCAAGCTGCGTTAATGTTTAAGCTGAAGTGCCCGTACCCAGAACAAGGGGAATTCGCTTCCCTGGCCCACGTGCCCTCTTTTCAGCTGGAGAACAGCTACCTACAGCACATGGATGGCAATGGGAGCTTGAATGGAAGTGATGGCGGGCAGAAAGAGGGCCTTCCTTACCCCTTGCCCACTACCTTAGCCCTCATCTTCCTGGCCACGCTGCTCATGCTCGTCACCATCTTTGGCAACGTATTAGTCATCATTGCTGTCTTCACCAGCCGGGTGCTCAAGGCCCCTCAGAACCTCTTTTTGGTTTCCTTGGCCTCAGCAGACATCCTGGTGGCAACCCTGGTCATCCCCTTTTCTCTTGCCAATGAGGTAATGGCCCAATGGTATTTTGGCAAGGTATGGTGTGAAATCTACCTGGCTTTGGATGTACTCTTCTGCACCTCTTCCATTGTGCATCTCTGTGCCATCAGCTTGGATCGCTACTGGTCCATTACACAGGCCATTGAGTACAACCTCAAGCGCACGCCACGCCGCATCAAAAGCATCATCTTCCTGGTTTGGGTCATCTCAGCTGTCATCTCTTTCCCACCACTCATCTCCATTATGAAGCAGGGTGAACCTGAGAGTCAGCACCATGAACAAGCAGAGTTGAAACCTGAGAACAAGTTGCCCAGCTGCAGTATCAACAAAGAGACCTGGTACATCATCTCTTCCAGCATTGGCTCCTTCTTTGCTCCCTGCCTTATCATGATCCTGGTCTATGTCCGCATCTACCAGATTGCAAAAAGGAGGACTCGTGTGCCTCCCAACAAGCGAAGGGAGACCATGGAGAGGAGACAGAATGGGTTGGCTGACAAAGAGGACATGCCTGCAATAACCAAGCTCAATGGGGAGAAGACAGTGTTGGCAGGAGGAAGCCAGGAAGCAGAAGTCAACGGTATAGACCTGGAGGACACTTCTTCTTCAGAGCACAATGAGACTCCTCAGCCTAGGAAAGCAGAGAGGCTACCCAGAAATAAGGGCAAAGCCAAACTCTGCCAGATTAAGCCTGGGGACAATTTGCCTAGTCGAGTAGAAGAGGATAGGAATGCCAAAGCTTCGCGATGGAGGGGCAGACAGAACCGAGAGAAGCGCTTCACCTTCGTGCTTGCAGTAGTGATTGGAGTTTTTGTTATCTGCTGGTTTCCTTTCTTCTTCACTTACACATTGACTGCTGTTTGTAAGAGCTGCCATGTTCCTGATACCCTCTTCAAATTCTTCTTCTGGTTTGGTTATTGCAATAGTTCTCTGAATCCTGTCATTTACACTATCTTCAACCATGACTTTAGGAGGTCCTTTAAAAAGATTCTCTGCAGAATAGACCGGAAAAGAATTGGGTGAAGCGGGGATCTGTTTGCAAGGCAAGTCTTAGGTTCAGTTCTGGCTGGATATTGGAAGTGGGTGGCACCTTGTCTGATTACTGAGTGTTGACTCTTCAAAGGCTTCAGGTGAGATAAAATGATTAAAATATTAGTGCACAACCAGAACCCAAGTGGATATGTGCCCAGGGATGGATCAAAAGACTTATTTTTAGTGTGTTCTTTCTATATATTTCAGCACATTGAAATGAACAAATGAGGGTGGGAAAGGGAAATGTAAGTCATATCTTTCAGAAGCACTTTCTTTCTATTTTCCCCTCTAATGTCCCTGACGTTGTTACGGTACTGCATCTTTGAGATCTGTGCATCTTTAACTTTTGTAGGAGAAATCAGCTTTAAACTGTTTTAAATATTTCCTGAGGACATTTATTCTATATGAAAAATAAAACAAAGATAACACATTTGAGTGGACCCCTGCTGCCATCTCATCAATTTAAAAATATTATAGTATTAAATTCCAAAATTTCCAATATCGTTCTGGATATTGGGATATAACAACTGGTAACATAAGCTTTGACACAATGGCCAGTGTTCTATTGTACTCACTATCTGTATTTGTTTTTCAAAAAATCATGTTTGTTGTCTTTTTTAATGCAGTATTGTTAAAAGGCTATATCTCTTATTTTGTATCAATTGAGGGAATCAAATATGAAGGATTTCATATTTAGGAAAGGAGCTGTCAAAAAAGACCATGAGCTCCTTTCTAAGACTTCAAAGGGTTAAGATAAAGCATTCCTTCTTTGTGATCCTTGCACTGATATATGTTCAGTGCTAACTTCCTTCCTTCTGTAGCTGTAAATAGATACCATAGATGAAACCGTTTGGTTTTACTTTACAGTGTTATTTGATTTACACTGATTTTTTATCTTTTCATTTGTGCTAGCTCTCCTGTGAAACTCTTTTCATGTACAAGTTCATTTTTACCTAATATAAAACTATACAAATCTCTCATTTTATTCTTCCAACTTGAAAATTGGACTATAGAACTCTTTTGGTTGGTCATAAAGTGAATGTTATACATGGGTATAAAGAAGAAAGAATGAATGGTATAGTTGTAACATGTAAACATTCATGGTGGCATAGGACAAAAATACCTTTGTTAACTATCTTCCTTGTTTGTTTTCCCAGAAACATCTATTGCAAATTAACTTTCTCATCCCATCAAATAAATATACTGAATATTATTAAAAGGGAAGGTATTTTATCATCATTTTAACATCAGAATTTTGTTTTCAGTATTATGACAGCATTTTCATTTAAATTAACAATCTGATCCGAGTACTTTGTAGAGGATGGTGCTGGAAAAGCTCCTCCTTTTAAAGCTGTGAAGTTGATACATTCTTGCTTTATGGCCAAGTTTTTATTTGGATGATAGGGCCTTTTTTTTTTTAAATACCACCCTACCCTGTAGAACACCATGGATGCCCCTATCTTCAGACTTGTATGCCTTCAGTTTATAAGGATACATATCCAATCTCTTAAATAAAAAAATATGAATTTTACACTCCTGTTCAGTCTAGCAAAACTAGAGTGCTAATAGAGGAAAAAGGACATAACTCATTAGCAACAAAAATGTTACTTGTCTAAAAGCTCATTTTTTTAAAAAAAGTTGAAGAGCTCATTACAAATGTTTGCATAAAGTGTTTTTAACCCAGACTTTACAATTTCTTTCTTTTTTTTAAGACCCATTTTCCAATGCAAGGAAATTCCTATTCTTTATATGGAGTTGTTTCTAAAATGCGCATTAGTATCCAAGGGCTCAAACAATGGGGTGTGATGGGGACATGGGAATGAATACACCAGCACACAGTCAAAAATAATGCTGCCGTTATAAGTCTGTTGCAAAGGTATTGCAGTTTAGCAGTATTGAGACCAGTCCTTATATATGAATCAGGCTGCTGGGTCAATATTCAGTTTTTCCTTGCATTCAATTTAAAATGAGAGAGCACTCTGTCACTTTTTCCCTGTTGCAGTAAAACAAGATAATAAATAAATGTGAAAAACCTGTGTGACTTCCCCTATTTGTTATAATTAACATTTGAAATGTCGGAATCTTTATATCCACTGCTTATCAGAAAATCAAGAGAAATAGATAAAAGTTTTACTTTTTGATGGAGGCAATCTGTCTGCATGTGTTGTATCTTGTATGTCCCCAGTTTTATGTTTTTCTGCAGTATTTGGACTGACACTTCCAGAGTTGGTCATGGAAGCTGGGAGTTCCAGGAGAGATAATCTAACACATTTGGGGACACCAGTGTGGGGAAGGCTGCTGTATCTCTAATGCCTTGAAGGAGCAGAACAAGAGATTTCAGTTAGAGACACATTATGTCACCATAGCCCATTTATGTGGCTTTTCAGCCTGACAGATTGGCCCTATGGTTTGTGACAAGGAATTGAACTGCTAAACTAGCTTATGCAGTAATTAGGTTTCAGTGATCCAAAGCAATTCATTTACATAGGAAATTGTGTATCATGTTTTCCAGACCATAATACCTTTCCAATGGTCTCCCCATAATAGGAAGGAGAATCTTTTGAAATGGCTTCCTTATGATATGAAAAGAATAGCTTAAAGCTCAGGCCAGAGGGCGAGGCCAGAATCAATGGATTAAAACTATAAGGAACTAGGTTCAGGTTTGATGTCAGGAGGAACTTCCTCATTATATGAGCAGTCAACCAGTGGAGTAAAATGCCACAGAAAGTGGTAAGATGTAGGGGATAAATAGGATGGCCTTGAAGGGCAAAATGAAGTTCCTCAGATAAATGAAACCTGAGCCCAGGCTAAGAAAGTAATTTGAGAAGATGCCTCAGACAGTCCCCCACCCCAGCTATTTCTCATCAAGATAAAAGAGGGAGGTAGCACATTCAGACTTGAAACATTCTGTTTCTATAGCTATTCTAATAAAAGTAGTTTAGATCTACACGGTGTCTGCTTCTTAGTCTGTTCTACCTGACAGGGCTGACATCAGTTCTTCTTTGCCAAAAGTCTTCAAATGGGTTGGATGGTGTTCTGTCAGAGATGTTCTAGTGGATCATGTACTCAGCAGAGTGTTGGATTAGGTGACCTGCTTAGATGACTCTTTGAACACTTGAGGTTTTATGATAATGCACAAATCCAGAGAAAATGAAATACAGTTAAATCTTATTTAGCCAGCATTGTCAATGAAATTCCTTGTTCACATACTGAGCTCTCAGGCAGAAAAACTGCTTCTCTACTGCCAGCACTGGAGTGACTCTTTCACTCAGATAGATGGTTTCTTTTTCTTTTTCTTTTTTGAAATGAATGAGATTGGCTGTCTCTAGCAACTCAGCAGAGAGAAAACCAGAGAGCCTTCTTATTGTCTGAAAAGTGACTTAAGGTGGAATAAACTGTAAATTTTAGCCAATTGCTCTGGAATAGCACAAAGGAAAAATTAATTGGCTTTGCAAAAACATCTTGGCTTGAGAAATGTGGGCTGAATATTTTTAGGGTTCCGGTATTAAATGTACTGTATGAAACAAGCAAACAAATGCCTTACAATGGAAAAATAAAATGGTTCCTGGAATGTCTTTCTAAATCAAAGTTGTATCTGATATAACAACCCCTGAATACCATGCCATTTGACCTTTTTAAGAAAATGTAACATGTATACAGAAATAGCCATAATGGATTTTTAAATAAATGAATAAAATTGACACCTCTAAAGCATGGTAGATCTTTGTCATCTCTGTTTTCAGTTTCAGGACTTAATCAGCAAATGAGAACTGACCTTTTCAAACACATATTGCCATGGTCCCTTGTATTTAACAATTGTTATGCCACATGTTAAACAGAACAATGGCCTGCTTCATTATGCTCTGAATAATACTCTAAAAAGCTTTTGATATGATTTTGCTTTCTTACCGCAGAGCAAATCTATTCATGTACCTTTTAAGGCCAAGCAAAATTGTGCTTGAGGTTTTTGATATTTTTCCCTTTCCTTCCCAGCCCCCTCTCTTTTTATCATCTCATGAAATACTGTTCTAATCAGGAGTTTACAAACTACTGAAGGACTGCTGACTAATTAGGTCAAGTGAAAACAGAAATTATTGAAGTAAAACAATGCTTGTACCCAGCCAAATGTCTGGTAGTGTTTGGAAAAGGTAGAACAGATTAGTAATTTCAGTTAGCCACCTCCAAGATTGGGGCTTAGTTTGGTATGAAGAATTAGCCCAAGAACATTTCATTTGCATGATAATGGATAACAAAATAATCTCTGTAGCACTAGCTAACCTTATTTTTTTTTAACTATTTGGATTCCTACTTTATATATCTTCCATTTTTGCTTTAGTGTATAACGGCAGTAATTGTTACAATCTCTACTATATGATGTCCATTCCCTGTAGTCCCTTGATGCTACTGTTTTACTGATTCTAAACTAATACTTGATTTCTTAATAGAGACTTTAGATTTGATTCATTAACTGCTGGAAAATGATAGTTATGTGAAGGGAGCTAGGGAATGTATGTCCTTAAATCATAATTCCTAATTTACTCATTTATTTGAAACATTTTTACTCTGCTATTCAGCTGGAAAAGGCTAACAGAACAGTTTACAAAGGTCAATTAAAGAAATCTTGGTTTCAGGCTGGCAGTCTAAAAGTCACCATGCAAAATGAAAAGCCTTGAGAGGACAAGAGGAAAAAGCTATCTCTATTTTAATTATAAAAGGCATAAAATGATCAACTGGAATAAAAACAGTTCAGGGAAAATAGGAGCAAAGTACTGTTGCTGTTGGAGAAAAATCTGTAGTAAGGAACTTCTGAATTTATTTCTCTCCTGTTTACAGCTTACAAGTTTTTGTCCCTTCTCACATGGCCCAAGCTGAGGTTCGTTCTCTACTCAAGCAAGACATAGAGTCCTTCAGTCTCCAAACACTTTATTACAGGTCAAGCACCCGTGCACATGTTCAGTAACACTCCATGGGCAAGGCCCCGAAACAAAGAAAACAGGATGCATTTATAATCAAGCAACAAGGAACTACAGGATCATGACCAGGATCTAACCAACTACAAGACGTGGTTGGTTAGAAATTAATTATCAAAAGGCAAAAGATTAAAATGGACTCCTATGCTATGTTGCCCCTGTTAAATGTCATACTGCAACTTCAGCTAACTAGTTATCTGACCAACTTCCTCTTGAAACCTAACGACTACTACTGAGTAGAAGCTATGCTAAAAGTTGGCTAGTTAATGGTGACTATCCTTAAAACTCTGGCTATGCTCAGGAGCCCTATGCTAAAACAATTATTAGTACTCAGATTGCTTAAATTCTTCCATGCTACTCTCAGTTGAGCTGATGGATTCTCTTCCCTCACTGAGTGCACTCCAAGAGTTGTGACTGGTAAATCAGTTTAAAACCACATACACAGTTGTGGTATAATTATCCTAAAGCTCTGCCAGTGAATCTCAGCAAGAAGATTCAGAAGATATTTCTGCCACCCATAAAATAAAAACTACTTGCCAAATTGCTGTACCCAAGAACAATGCCAGCAGCTGTAATGTACACGTACTACAACCCTGAATAATCAAAGATTTATGCACTGAGCCCCATGCTCTGGATTCAGCAGACTCCATCAAGCTAAAACCCACTTAAATCATTGGAATGACTTTATAACTGAGTCTGGAACCCAGCCTTTGTGTTCTAAGCATGTGTAGCCGTAGGGGTAGGAACATATGCCTAGATTTGCACTGCTATCGTAGACTGTGGGTTTGTAAGACTATAAAAATCCACTGAAAGCAATGAGACCCACTTCCACTTTGTAGAAGGATGGCCAGCTCACCCCAATGTTTGTTTATATCTTTAGGAAGGGTTGGAGGGAATCAGGGGCTGCAAATCTGCACCTCAATCTTCTGGAGGCCATCTGGTGAGCTAATTATGTCACCAGAAGAGGTGGGGTTGAATTTTTTTGGCCCATATTTTGGAATCTTTTCCAAGGTTCTGTAGGTGGTAATGCCAGTACTATTCCCACCCATAAAAGCCCCCCAAATCTCCAAAAATGACCAAAATCAGCTTGAATAACTGATTTTGGGCTATCTGAGGGGGAGAGGCCTCCCAAAGGCCTATGTCTCATTCCCACCTACACTGCTGAAACTTGATTGCCAAAATTTGTCAGTGCGATCTCAGGGTAGTGCTAAATGGAATAGAATTTGGGGGCTTTAAGTATGGTTAAATCAGATTCAGAGTAACTTTGAAGCAAATGAAAACAATTGTGTTAATAAGTTACTCCAAACAGCGGTAGAAGCAGCATTCATAAAATTGTCTCAGCAATCATCAGATTAAAAAAAAAAAAAACTGCTCTGGAAGGGGGAAAATTTAACCAACTCAAACATGTAAGGAAAGGATGAATGGGGAGAGTAAACAATCCTCTACTCCAGTCCTACTCCAATCTGCAGGTTTCACAGCTCAAAAGATCCTCTCCTTTTTTTCAGAGAGGGGAGGAAACCTAAAGAGCCAAAAAAACATTATTATAACTGAGTCCCAATGTGTTTCGAGGGGATACGTCATTGACAGGGAAATAGTATAAACAGATTGCAAAGGATGGAAGTGCTGAAATTAGGTTTCAGGCTCAGTCATGGTAAAGTCTCTCTCACACCATTTTTCCTCTTTCTCAATCTGATTGGTTGGTGTAATTTTTCTATCTCATCTCTCTCTGCTTTGTTTCACCAACTTTACTTGTGCTGGCAAAGATTTCAAGCAGGAACATATGGAAACAGACATTTTTTAAGTAGTTGTAGGCCATTTAGAAATTGAAAGGATGAAGCCAGCATGCTGTACTGAGATCTGAAACCACCAGAGCAATTTTGTCTTAAATTGCCAGACATTAGTCTGACTGCAGAATTCAGCAGTTTAGTGTTTTTGGACAGTCACTGTGTGTGCTGAATTATGTTACCATGAGAGCCAACCACATGCTTGAGGGACTGGTGTGTCTGCTATGATTTGTAAGTTTTCACCTACCAACATGTAACATAGTGAAGAATCTGGCAGTTTGTTCATGGCAAACTGGATAAGCTTGGCTGGCAGTTGGGAGAATGAGAAGGGTCCTAAGAAAAATCTATTGTTTTTCTTGTTCATTCATCTTTTGGAAAGTTCAAAGTCCCTGCAGGTATTTCTTTATTGCAGCCAGCAACCTGGTATGATTCTCAGTTACTGTTTTGTTTAGTTTTCTACTTAGCCTCTTACCCATACACTTAATATTTTTCTGGATTAAAGTAGAAATTTTCCTTCCTTCCTTCCTTCCTTCCTTCCTTCCTTCCTTCCTTCCTTCCTTCCTTCCTTCCTTTTCCTTCCTTCCTTCCTTCCTTCCTTCGACAAACATCAAAGTGTAGGCGGTTGATGTGGGAAAATCTTGCTTCCTCCTTAACTGCATTAACATGAAATTGAATCTCAGCAGTATATGCCGATAGGCCAGCCAAACATGTCATTGAGACTTCACGGGTTTGTTCACTCAGAGTGTTCCCTCCAGGTAGCCTTGAGACACTGCTTGCACAAACATTTCAGCTCCATGTGAGTTTAAGGATTATTGGATTTTATCTGATTCTCCCTGGGACAGTTTGTTTATTCTTAATTGTATGCTACTTAGATCCAGGAATGTGAAAAGCTACTAACTAAGCAATGATAATGCTTTCCATTCTCATCACTACACGGAGGAGGAGGATTTTTTAGCAATAGATACCCATTTTTAAGCCAAAGAAGCTGCCCAAAACCTAAAATACTATGTACAAAACAAACAAACAAAAAAAGACTAGTAGGTACAAAACCACTGAAAAGTACAGCAGGAAATCATGGTATACTGGAACCATCACCTGAGGCATCAAGCAAAATTTTTAAAAAAAATTATTTGGCACTAATAACTAGAGCATTGGGGGAGATCTTAATATTATTTGCTATAAAATCAATACAAGTATGGGGCTACGGAGAGCAGTGTGGCAGACCTGGCGTAGAAGTCAACTTTATACATAAGGGCCCCATGATTTGCAGAGCTGGAGTGAAGTACTCTAGTTGCCCTCTCCTGAGCAGCCCTGCCTATAACTTAACTATAAGTGCTAGGGAAGCAACACGAAGTTACAACCAAAAGCCCCCCCCCCCCCCGACCCCACCCACCTATCCCCTAAACAGCCACAGGTATACTGCCTGGGGATGACAGGACTCTCAGGACTCCAGGACACAATTTCTGGATGATGACTTGGCGTGAAGCTCTGATTGGTGGAGTTCAAAGTTCTAATAAAAGGCACTAGTTTAATACATAAGCTATAAATTCATCAGTTCCTGCAATAAGAATTTGCCTCTATACCTTAAGCCACCAGATTTGGTTTGGTTCTAACTGATCATAGCTAGGATTCCAGCAAAAAACAAACAAAACAAAATCTAACACATTCTGCAAGTCTGTAGCTTTCCACCCATCATAGAAGAGAGAAGAAAAGAGGTTTCTCCTTGTTAAGAGGATGTGAACAATTTCTACATGTTGAAATATTTATAAGTTGCTCCTAGAACATTTGATAGATTGGCCCTGCTGGGAAGCAGATCAGAGCTCACCTTTTCTTTTTTAATACACCTTTCAGTACATACATTTTTTCATACATTCATTTATCTGTCAGCCTGTTGATAAACTAAGAGTGGGATTTGCTGGCTAGATTTCTACTGTACAG